ATTAGAGCAAAATACTGACTTGTCTTCATCATGAAGGGGATTGCACATCTTGATAGGAGGCCCAGGCTATTTGGTCACCTTATTTATAAGAGACTAATGATAGCTCTGTTTTCTGTAAATATTCTGTCGGTATTGTGCAGTGAATTATATTTCCAAGTCATCACAGTACAAAATATCACCCAATGTTCAATGTAAGCCCTGTGTCAATTGCATTGTTTTGTGGAGTGTGAAATTTTATGTAAAGATGCTAATTGTAACAACTTCTTTCTTGGTTACCTGTGGGTTTCAAATGATGTGTTGAATGAAGCATATTGCACAGATGCCTGATAAAATACAAGTGATGGAAGCAAACTGCATGTCCATTCAAATACAGTTTAATTTCAGGTATTGTTTTTGTTTATCTGGTTAGTCTCCATATTTCCATGGCAACTGATTGATATTCAGAGACTCTTCTGTAAATAAATTGCTAATTGAGTTTAAAAAGAAAACTGCTGTTTGGTAGCTTACTAGGAGGGATGGCTTCTTCATGATGATCATATTTTACTATTTTTTAACTCCTTCCCTCCCCCAACTCCCATCCTTCAAATAAAAACATCACCTCCAATCTTCAATAACGTAGTTACTGTGTATTTCAGCTTCAGAAGGTACTGATCCACTAAAGCATAAATGCTTTTTGTACAAAGGTATAATTTAGCTATCATCATTGTCATGGGTGTACCTAGTTATATACAGTTTTCTTGATTCATAAATAAATTAAATTGGTTTTTAAAAATAAATTTAAAAAATCAAAAATGGCAGTGGGAGCCATCCTTCTGTGATGTCTGCTCTGGGACTTCTGCTATTAAATTTCTGTTACATGAAATGGAACAGAAAACTTGTCAAATTTTGTGTTAATAAAATTAATATAAATCAATTGCTACAAGATTTAAAAATAAAGATGACAACTCTCCTTCTAGTACTGTTTTTTTCTAATAACAGAAGAACTTGCTGAAGCATCTTAACTAAAAGTATGGAAGAAAAAAAAAAAAAAGGGCAACCCAAAACTACTACTACATGCAGCACAGAATAAATGTGATGCTGGTATCAGTCCAGATGGTGAAGAAGTCACTTCATGAAGTTCTGCTGCCAGCAAGCACATTGTAAATGATTTTCCATACCCTTCTTGTTTTGTTCCCACATGCTTCAGGCAAGCAATTCTTTTAAGCTGAAGAGTATGAATGCCTACAAGGTATAAATCCAACCAAATTTAGTTGCAAGTATCAGTTACAGGAAGGTGTCTTCACATTCCTGTGCAGCTACAGGAGTTTCTGCTAGGGTAGAATAATTCTGGAAGAAACTTTCAAACTCTTATATTTCACCTGTGGCATTTGCCATCTTTTTTGTGAAGGCTGAATATCATGACTCTGGTTTACCTTTGCAGATTTTTACATAGGAAACTTGTACATGTATCATCTGGTAAGGTTGCCTCACCCACAGAACTGGTTAACTTCAGGCCAAGGTGAAATTGTGCTGTGCTTAGAGGCTCAGGATGAAGTGACACCCAGTTCCAATGCGGTAAGCCACATTTTACAAGTATATTTTGATTACCTGTGAAGTACTTCCTAAAAATACATTTCCCTAACTACACTAATTCACTTTTGCTTGAAAGCCTCAGTCCGTGGAAGTAAGAAGCTGTAGAGCTAAATTGTGTGGCACATCTCAGTGCTGGAGAACCTCTAAGCAGAGGGAGAAAACAACTTCCAGTCAGGCAATAGAGGAAAAATAGGTGACAGGAGAGAGGTGACATGCTCAAGATGTTGAACCACCATCATGGCCATAGATGGTGGCCATATCTATGTTCACATTTTGGCCTCGCATTTTCTCAAGAACTGATACCAAAGAGACCACGTTCAGGTAGCTTGGTGTTTTGCACTATTCACAGCAGATCTGGGCTGACTGCATCTGCCTGAGGAGGTGGAAGAGCACTGATAATGGGAAGCAAGCTTAGGAAGGTTTCTTTCTTTAAGTGGACTTTCTCTGCAGAGTGATTTTTTTTTTCCTACCAATGCTTAGGTACAGCATGTTTTCTTCACTTTTTTTTTTTATTTGCTTATGGTGTGTCCAAGATTTTCCAGGGTCCTTACTTGATTATCTGTTGGAGAGCCATAACCACTGACTTAAGATGTATGCTCTTTAAAAAGATCAGCTGTACAAAGTTAAATCTTTATTTGGGAATTCTTACAGCAAAATGATCCAGTGGATTATTCAGAAATGCAGTCCCAGGCAAGGAGCTAAGTACACAGAATGCAGTCATAAAAATAGTCCAAAGAAATCAGTGGGTCCTCTTCAGTCCTTGTTTACCTTCAAAAAATCAAGGGGAAGCTAGGAAGCATTATTTGCCAATAAACCGAGGTGGTCGTTTCTCTCTGAAGGCAGCCATCCCTTCCTGCCGGTCTCTTGTGGGAATGTTCTACATTAAAAAAAAAAAAAAAAAAGGGGTATGTTCATTGACGCGTCTGATATATTTTTACATACTGACTATTTTGGCAGTAGTGGTCTAAGACTAAGATTGCTTTCCTTAAGTAATCTTTTCTGATAAGTTTTTAAGTTTACCTTCCACTTTTTGCAATTAGGAAAATAAAGGGACTGGGTTGTAGTGCAGATCACAAGCAAAACATCTAAAAGAAAGACCACAGACCAGAGAACTATACAGGAAAAGAGTTTTCCATAAATTTAATACCTGACCATCTTAAAACACACTGAGAGGCACAGCAGTTATGTTGTTCCGTTAGCTGAGAAAGGTGCATGCTCTCAAAACTTGTCAGAAAGAATGACTAGAAAAAATCTGGTTTATTTAATTTGTTAAACCTAAAACATTCCTAAAGCTCATCCTGTAATTAACATATTGTTGAAACTAAGAATATACAACTAGTTTAGACGGAAGGGTATTTAAGGAAGGACTCTGGTCTCAGGCAGGCTGAGAGGCAGCTATGCATGACACATGCGTGTCTACCAGTTAATATTATGAAACAGAAATCTGGAACTGCGCTCAAGGGTGTTCTCAAAGCTTTAGCTGTTAGTGTTCCCTTATAGAGAGGAAAATACAAAAGGATACTGTGAATATCTGGGTTTAGAAAATATACAGTTGTTCCTTTCAGGAAACTATTCTGAGGGCAACCTACCTGGGCATAACACATCCCCTCAATAGCCATCCCTGACGCAATGTCAACCTGTGGATGAGAGGGAAGGAGTAAGGTTCGTCTGAAATATAGCCCTCAAAACTACTTCACAGCCCTCAAATCAATAAACATTCACTTGCAGTGAGTGACCTTCACTTCTGTATTAGAACTACAGTGTTAGCAGTAGAAAAACTGTAGGAAAAAAAAAGTAGATCTGTAGAAAAAAAAAAAATCCCGCCATATTGTCTTTAAAGAAAAATCTTTAAAACCCCTGAAATGGTTTTATAATCCTTGTTTAGACAAGGCCTTTAACTCATCTGTTCTAAACAATTTTATTGGAGTAATTTGTAAGAGCTGCCTCTGTTTCATTTACATCAGTACTTAAAAAAATTACCTCTATTCCTCTGTTTATTGCCAGTTTTCCCATTTTCACAGCAAATGGAGCCTTTATTAAAAAAAAAGCACAACAAACATTTAAAAATAATTAAAGCCACATCAGTTTATAATAGCATAGTTGTTACATCATTATCCTAGCTCCAAATGACCTTTTTAGTCTACAGCAATTTGCAGTAAGCTAATGAGTATTTAAAAAAACCCCAACAATTTAGCGTTATGTACAGTTAATAGCTGTTCATGGTGCAAGGTTTCAGTGCGTCCTGCAGGTTTGCATAACCCCAACTGGGAAGTAAAACTGTCCTATGCGTTAAACAGCTGGACGTTAACACTTGTTCCTACAGAAACTGAATTCACAATAAAGGACAGAGTAAAGGGACCAGGAACCAAAATGTTAATATTTCGTAGAAACGACTTTCAGTTGTTTGTTTGCGCTCTCTTAAGGGAAGTGGAAATACCTTCTTTACATTGACCACATGAATAACACACTTACCTGAGGCAGGATTTCTTTAGCCAAAGCTAGTGCTCTCTGGTAAGCTGCATCTCCCTCATTGTTTTGTGGCACTGCGTGATTTACTAATCCCATTGAGAAGGCTTGTTGTCCATCAATCTGTCTACCAGTGAAAATTAGTTCCTTTGCAAGACCTATTCCAACACATCTGGGCAGGCGCTGGGTTCCACCTTACGACAACAGCAAAAACACCGTTTTCCATTTCTGAGAAATGCCTAAAAAACAGTAGTATTTTGTCTCCTTATATAACAAGGAGGTTGTATATTTTATATATGTATATAAAGTGATTGTGGTTCTTTAATAACTACTAGCTGAATATGTCAACATTCTGCAAGGCATCTGAAAGGCTTCAGCATGCTTTTGAGTATTTTGATAAACAGGAAAAGGTGTGAAGGGACTTCCCTAAATTCATAGCAAGTCTGAGACAGGGCTTGGAACAGAACTCTTGATTTATAGATCTCTTGGGTCACTGTAAGATGCTACTTCTATTTTACATTCAAAACACTCTAATTTTGCTCTAATGGCAAAA